ATGGGAAAGATCGACGCATGACTCAAGGATATTGGGAAAAGCACTTACTAGGCCAAATACAAGGTTTCCTATACCTCCTCCAGGTGAAGTAGGCATTCCATGAAATTGCCCTGCCAACTTTTACTTCCACCATTTATGTGTCCTCACATTTAGAATTCAATGCAAAGAAATACTACCTTGTTGATTCTAGATATGCTAATGCTCCTACAGAGTTTCCTAAACCTCCTCTAGGTGAAATAGGCATTCCATGGAATTGCCCTGTTAATATTTACCTCTATCATTTATGTGTCCTCACATCTAGAATTCAATGCAGGGAAATACTACCTTTTTGGTTCTGGATATGTTAATTCTCCAAGTTTCCTTGGCCCATGCTTTAGTGAACGGTACCATCTTAGTGAGTTTAGGAGACAATCCGATAGATTTAGATTGAATGAGGACCACTTCAACTAAACTCATTCTTCACTGTGTAATGTCACTATTAGTTGGACACATAAACAAGTCATGCTATCAGTTCAACTACACTCATTTACACTCATTCTTGAAGGGTAAATTCCCCATCTTAAAAAATATGTCATGCTTTCAGTTGGACTTTCAATGACTTCTTGTAATGACATGTTTCATAACCTACAATTTCATAAAACGAGAGGTACATGAGGATGAACACATAAAATAAGTGTGCAGATGGTTACAAAAATGACTTTGATAATGATGATGGCTCGGATGGTGACGATGAAGAGCACACTATTATTACACTAGGTTCAAGTAGAGAGATGAACATGGTTAGAGAACAAATTACAACTGCTCTATGGGAGAGGTACCAAAGGTCTGCCCAGTGATTTGCATGTGAACTTGATGTTATGATTCAAACTATTATGATGCTGAGATTCGGACTATGATGATGTTAGGATTTAGACCGTGCCGATGTTTATGCTTGTTATTGATTGTACTTGTTTACTCCTTTATCTATTCTAAGTTTGTATGTGTTTTTATGCTCACTTTTTTGTGGATTATTTGATGCTTACTATGCAAGTTTTCTATGCAGAAATGATCGATGAGATGTTTTTACCAAATTGCTCCTGTGGTAAAGGGGAGATGACACTGCATATGGCAAGAACAAAAACTAATTATGGGCGATAATTTTTATGTTGCCTAATTAGGGGTAATCATAGGGGTTCATTCATATGGGTAGATGAATATGGTGGAATCCATCCTAGAGCACCTAGGGCTGAAGTTATCCAATATAGTTCATTCACCATGCAACCATAACATACCAATAGATATATTGCACTCATTGCTTGTTGTGGTTGTAACATCATCTGCTTTTTATTTGGGTTTGGCTAGTAATTATTCTATTAGTCTTGAAACTCATTAAATAGGATGATTACATTCGTAGCAAACTTGATGAGAAAATGGTGCCATTGATAGACATTATGTGTGAAGTACATATTTTGAAACCTTAACCAATTAGCAGTTGGGCCCAATTAGATCTGTTCATGGGTCGAGTAGCCCACGGGCTGGCCTGGCCCGGCCTATTATTAAGTCAGGCTTGGCTATAATTTTAGGTCCGCGAGCTCGAGCTTTCTCAAAAAAGATCGGCTCGAGCCCGAGCCCAATTTGATACAATATATTAAATAATAAAAATATATTTTATTTAATAAAAAATATATATACAATATTTTTTCTTTGTTCTTCTCTTTTTTATCAAGTAATAGTGAGATGTTTATTATTTTTGAGTTTCAAAGGCTTTTAATATAAATAAAACACTTTTATTGAATAAAAAAAGAAAAAAAAATCTATTTTCAAATTTCTGGCCGGGCTCGGGCCCGAGCTTCAAGCTTTATATGAGGGTCGGGCTCGGACTCAAGACTTAGGCCCGATGGTCAGGCCGGACTCGGGCTAGGGCCTGAGTGTATTATGTTGATACATATACAAAGCCCGGCTCGACCCAGCCCATGAACAAGTATAGGCCCAATAGGTGAGTATTCGAAAGGTCTATAACATGAAGAAACATGGGTTGATTAGTTACATTCATTTTCTCTTGAATAGTTGCAAAATACCTAAGATCCACAAAACTATACCACTCTCGGCTGATGGACATGACAAACCYATTTACGCTCATATCATGGATGTTATCAAACATCAATTCCACCCGTTGGATTTAGTTTTTGAGGCCAAATAATGCTGATTAATCATCCAAATAATGTGGACTGTTTGACGAGCAGTGTTATTTTCTTATGCCATGCACTATCATACACAGTAGTGGGTTTAGCTCCACAAAAATTGGTGGTGAAAATCACCTTACCAAACAAAACAAATAGTGAAAAAATGATGCTCGCTGCCTATGTGGTAGAAACACTACCAAACATAATATGGCAAAAAACAGGGTAGTAAGTGTGGCTGTTTTTTTTTCTCGAAAATTGGTCCCAAAAAATGGCCACGCTACCAATTAAGATGGTGGTTGGTAGATATGGGATCAATGGCCACGCTCCAATTGTATAGATATGGGATCAAATCCATGTACCACAAGTTCTTTGTGGTAAGGTTGGTGGACCTCATGTACAACCTGTTCTGCCTCATCCCCTATAATTTGAGTCTGGATCTGATCCTCATAGAGTGCTCCTCGCACTAATCTCACAACACATCTCATCAGCACATCGGGAACATCTCCTGTAATTAGGGGTGATCATGTAAAACCGAAAACAAAAGAAAAAAACAGAATCAAACTGACGAGATTGAACCATAAATTTCGATTAAATGAACTGATCAGTTCGGTGTTTTTGAAAAACCGAAGGTATTGGTTCATTTTTTGTTAACTAATATAAAAAATCGACAGTTAACCAAATTGACCAGTATACATATATTTGTATATATTATATATATCTATATTTATGTATATTATATATTCATGTATATTTTATATTATCTATATATTATAAATGGATATATATATGAATTACATATTATAAATATATATTTATAATATATGATATGTTATTTATTATTTATAATATAATATTTTAGATGTATTTCTTTTTTATAATATAATATTTTATATTATTTATTAGATATAATATTATGAAAATCAAAAAACCGATGAACTGAACTGATCAACTAGTTAATCGATCATCTTCGGTTTGGTTTCATTACCAGTTTTCTAAAAAATGGTACTACCGGTTTGGTTTGAACAAAAAAAAAAAAAAAAAAAGCCTAGAATTCAGTTCGTAAACATCCCTACTTGTAATTGTATATTCATGAGGAGATGTTTCCAATATATGATGGGATGTGATGTAAGGTCACGAGGAGCAAATCTCAATTTGTATAATGTATGTTCTTTAATAATAATAAAACCATGTGTATGGATGATAGAGAAAATTTATTCTTGGGCATGCATCAACCCATGCAATGAGTCCCCTGCTGCCTGTTTGGTCAAAACTCAAAACAATATTGAGGGTAATTACTCTTTTACCCCCCTCTTATGGTAACGTTTTACCCACGAACATTCTCACGTCTCAACAGCTCATGCTGTTTGGCCCCAAACAACCAAAGTTTTTTCAGGGATGTTAATAGGTTAAGTGGTAAACTCACCTTGATCCAACCCTATGGCATTTGAGGTAGACGGCGGTAGGGTTGAGGTCATCCTGAGCTGGACTTACCCATTGATACATGGTAGCATTGAAACTCTCTAGTAAAAAAACATACAGCCTTTGTTGAATATAATACGTGGAGTGATCTTAAAGCATACAGCTAGCTGCAGCCACTATTACAATTTTGGCCATGGTTCAAAAATGATATTATGGAATTGGTTTTGAAAAGCAAAACTCAATAATGTTCTGTCCCTTTGACTTCATCTTCTTCCTAACACATGGTTAAATTTGAAGACATTCTTGTCGTCCAAAGGTGCCAGGTGATGCATGGATCAGCTGGTAATTGAGTCCCACTTTCTTCCTCTCCATCTACTCCTAGTAAAATATGGGTTGAGAAAAACGAGTTTGAATCTGAATTCAAACCACTCTCGCCCCCAACCTATCCTAATCCTTTCTCAATTCTAGTGGTAAAATTTGATCCAAGAAGAGTTTGCAAATGTGTGAAGTTGGAGGGATGCAATCCATTCACTTGATGATTAGTGTCATATTACTCTTGTTTATATCACTCGATGTATACTACTCCATCAGCCCATATACAACAACTACCTTCCATTTTCTTTTATGTTGTCACCCATCCATCATCAGTCCATCCACAATAAGCAGCTTCTAAATTCAGTTAAAAACTGAATCGGATAAATCTAATTTTTAAAAACCGAACTTGTCAAATATAAAATCTAACCAAATTGAATTGCCGAAAAACCCTAAAACTAAAATTTTTGGTTCGGTTTTTTGTTAAAACTAAATTTTATTAATATTGCACTAGTACATATTATATATTAAGATATATATATATATATATATATATATATATATTTAGATTATAATATATGTATTTATTAATATTATATATATTGGTGAAATAATATATTAAATTATACATGTTATAATATATATTATATTATATATACAATAAATTTTGGTTAATTTGGTTTTTTAGTTAACCGAATTTTTAATCCTAAAAATTTAAATCGAAACTAAAATTTTATAGGATTAAATTAACCAAACCAAATTAACCGAATTAAACAAACTCAAACTGAAAATTTTGATTCGATTTTTTGGTTTTAACAAAACGATGCTCACCCTAGAGAAAGGCTATGTTCATATATTTTCTAGGTACCACTGTATCATCGGGCCGGGTTTGATAGGGCTGCCCAACCCAAGACCGATGGATCCTTGTAGAGTCGGGTCGTGGCTGGTTTACCATGACCTGACCCACATTTGACATCCTGCTACTGCTAAGAAATAACAATAGATTATAGATGTTTCAACTTTCAACTTTCAACTTTCAATCTGAAGGTTATTTTCGTCATTTTCGACGTTATGTAGTTTTATTTCATTGTCCTCAACTCTAGTCGACCATACTTGAGTCGAGAGAGAGAGAGAGAGAGAGAGGATTGGGAACTCTCTCCTATTTCCACCCGAAGCGCACAGATCTCTCAAAAGCTTCTGATTTCGCCATGGCTCAACCCTTCGTGAAGAAGGATGATGATCGAGACGACGAAGGTAGGTCTCCTAACCCTTGAATCCACGCTTATTTCTACTAATGCCAATCGTGCTGTTTCATTTCACCCACTTATCTATCTTTTATTCCATTCTTTCGTGATTATGTAATCCGCATTAATGTTTAGCTTCATGTTCATGGTTTAGAAGACTTAGATCCGGAATTTTCTTTTAGATCTACTGTTTTCTGCTTAGAAGGGAATTGTGCCTACTTGGTAGATCTGATGCGTAATTCTTATTTTATCCCTTTTCGGTTTTCGAGTTAATTTACATTTTGCTGCTCTTATTGCAATGTAGATGGTATTAGGCATTAAGTTTCCGAATTTATCTGAGCTTCAGAGAGAGATCGTGATTTTATTCATTGATGAACCTATAATTGGCGAATATCTTTTATGGAGCTAATATCCGACGTTGTCATACTTGTTTTGCAGCGGAATACTCCCCCTTTATTGGGATCGAGAAGGGTGCGGTTCTTCAAGAAGCTAGGGTTTTCCACGACCCCCAACTTGATCCCAGGAGATGTTCTCAGGTTCTGCTTTGTCATTTGATTCTGTAACTTGCTTTTCCTGCTTTGTTTGCCCCCAAGAATTGGCTTTTCAATTTCGTATGTTTTTTTTTCTTGGTTCACAGGTCATCACAAAACTCCTGTATTTACTTAACCAAGGAGAAACATTCACAAAGGTCAGATTTCTGCGTAACAGGCATTTTAACAACCCCCTCCCTCGGGATCCAACTCTTATTGCCTGCTGTTTTGGTCCATTTGAATGGTTTGAGTTTGTCTAGTTTGAGCATTTTGTCAATTTTAATGTGATTTATAGGTAGAAGCTACAGAAGTGTTCTTTGCTGTCACGAAGCTCTTTCAATCAAGGGATATAGGACTGAGGAGAATGGTTTATTTGATGATCAAGGAACTTTCCCCTTCAGCTGATGAGGTTATAGGATAAAACTCCTTTCTTTCCATTGCTCCCTTTCACTCCATTGAGGAATTAGGCACTGATTTATCCTCCTTGTCAAAGGTTATTATTGTCACGAGCTCTCTGATGAAGGATATGAACAGCAAGACTGACATGTATAGGGCCAATGCAATTCGAGTTCTCTGTAGAATTACTGATGGGACTCTTCTCACACAAATAGAAAGATATTTGAAGCAAGCAATTGTAGACAAGAATCCTGTTGTGGCCAGTGCTGCTCTTGTTAGTGGGATTCACTTACTTCAGGTACAACTGTATGACCTTCATTGTTGGTATGATATACACAATTGCTGGTTTTCTCTGCTCATGTCATTTACTATTGAAATAGACAAACCCAGAGATTGTGAAAAGATGGAGTAATGAAGTACAGGAAGCTGTTCAGTCACGGGCTGCCCTTGTACAGTTTCATGCTCTGGCTCTTCTCCACCAGGTAACTCTCTCTCTCTCTCTCTCTCTCTCTCTCTTCCTGATTCCTGCTTTCTGTTTCATCCACTTTTATAAGAGAAGCATGTGTTCTTTTCTTATCAGTAAAGAGAAGTATGTTTTCTTATCGTTCCATCACATAAGTTGCAACAGAATAAGTTTTCATGGATTTGTTTTTTCCATAGCCTTAGTTGTATTTAGAAATAGATGTCACATACAGATAGGGCATACCCTGTGGAGAATAGATTATGTCATCAAAGTGGTATCGCCTTTTCTTGATGACTAAATTTTTCAATATTCTTGCCTTTAACACTAACATAACCCCATAAAAGGTTCTATTAGTGGTAAGGGACCAGATGTGCTTGTGAAGAACAGAAGAGGCTAGGAAACTATTAGATAGAGAAGAGAGCAAAGAGGAAGCACCAAGAGATTCGAAATCAGTCAAAGTTCTACAGAAATTAAAACTATAAGTGAGACCTTGCTCCCCTCTAGAGATTACCAAGGAGAGAGAGGGAGGGGCTGGGGATCCACCAAAGGTCTGACAAAAAACTTAATGTGGTGACCATTACCAAGACTATCTCAAAAAAGGAAGAGAAGTTTTGAGAAGTGGACAAGGCCATTGCCCAGAGGCTGTCTTGTTCCAAAGCGAAACACCAAAACCATTCTCTCAAAAAGGCAATGTTCCTTTCAAATAATGCCAACAATTCCTTCTTCCTAGAGAGCCATGTGGGGTAATCCTTGAATTCCATATTTTTAAAACAAGCAGCATATGGAAAATGGTGTTAGGTTCGACGGGGTTCTCCTTTTCTTGGAGAAACCCTTATATGGCCATGGTTTACAAACTGCCTTGGATTCCTAGAGGCCTCGAATCATAGCGCTCCCAAAAATTCTTAAATTTCAGTAAGTGACTCCAAGTAGTATAGTAAAAGGGAAGTTCAGGAGGGGGTGGAAAAATGATTATTCATGTTGGTGGTATAAAACTCATTTGTTGTAGATATCTCATCGTCTTGATAAATAGGTGGTTGGTTGTCAAGGTTTTATTTGGGAAGACTGTCCACATGAAAAAGCACGACTTAGGGGGATTTAGTGGCACAAATTTTGAACATCTGTCCTTCCCTGCTAAATAATTGTGGTCGACTCCAGTTCCCCCTAAAATAAAGGTCTTTTGTTGGGAGGCTGCTAAGCAAATTTTGAGCACCTGTGATAGACTCCAAAGGAAGTGTAATGTGTAAATATCAGTCCCTTTCTCCCCATGTTTGTGGTCTTTTCTGGAAGAATAGGGAGAGTACCAACCATTTTTTTTTTTTGCAGTGCCCTTATACTTCAAAGATTTGGCATTGTTTTTGCTTTTTGATGGGAGAAGTGTGGATAGCACCTTCTAATGTGGTGGACCTGTTTAGGCTACAGGTTTTGAGATGCTCTATTGAAAAAAAGAAAGAAAGAAAGAAAGTTTGGTGGCAGTGTGTGAAAGGGGCAGTGCTATGGGGTTTGTGGTGTGAAAGGAATGGTAGAATCTTTGGAGAAAAATACAAGGAACTGGAGGAGTTTATTGATCCTACAACTATAAGGGCTGCTCACGGACTTAGATCAATAAAGAGTTCAGTGGGATAAAGCTGAATGATCTGCTAGGAGGTTGGAATTTCATTGTGGACTTTAACAACAGGTTACAACAAAGGGTGGTGGAGTGGATCCCACCTGGAGAAGGAAGCTACAAATTAAAGTTTGATGGGTGCTGTCTCGGAAATCCTGGGACTTCTGGAGTTGGAGAAGTAGTCAGGAATTTTGGCGGTAATGTAATTGTCAGCCACTCAGGACCAGCTGGTTTTGGAATCTCTTTGAGGGCAGAACTGTTAGCTCTAGTGCAAGGCATTAAACTGGTGGCTCAGCGGGGTTTTTCAAATATATTAGTTGAAGGGGATTGCCAAACTGTCATTAGATGGATGAATTCTCAGGATCAAGCTCCTTGGCAATTTAGAATGCTGGTGAGATTGGCTCTTTCCTTGGGTACCAGATTGAACATCTCATTCATCTGGGTACCCAGGAGTGCAAATATGATAGCTGATTTTTTGGCTAGGATGGGGGTAGGAAAGGATTGTTTGGACTGGGGATTCCCAGGCCCGGATTGTAACTTATAATCCGGGCCCACCCATCTCATTCGTCTGGGTACCCAGGGTTTTTTGTTTGGTGTTATATCTGCAGTATCTTTTGGGATGTAGAGGATATGTTGTACTTGGCCCACCCACTTTGTCAAGATGGGTGATTTTCACTTTTCATTAATGAAATTTATTTCTGATGCTTATCAAAAAAAAAAAAAAAGTGCCACAAACCCCTTATCAAGGAACAGGAATTTAATACTGCCTAAGAGCGTCTGGCTATTGAGTTTGATACTGGGTTATTGTTTCTTTTCCTTCCCTTTGTCTGGGGCTTTCACATACCATATGGAAGCTTGAAGTTGTGCCCATCTTACTCATTCTGGTGAAAAGTAATTTTAAATAGGAATATAGGAACTTTTTTGCCAAAAGAAAAAGAGCTCCACTTAAAACCAATGAAGAAACAGTACAAGGAGCAATTTGGCTGTCCTGATTACACACTACCATATTTTATTTACAGGCATTATAACTAGTTCATGGGCAGCCATATTCAAAAATCTATTAGCACAGTTAATACATATTATATCAAAAAGCCCCAACAGGTGTAAAGCATTCTCCTTAAGAGTTTTAACAGACCAGTCCACCTCTTCAGTATCTTATAAACTATTTACAACATCCACTGAGTCATGAAATACAAAAGGAGATTTGATATTCAATAAGATCACCTTCAGTCCATCGAGTAGAGCCCACCGTTCTGCTTGAAGGCTTCCTGAAGCTTGAATTCTTCAACTTTCTGCATAAACAGGAGAGTTATTTTTTGTGAGTATAATGTAACCTGTTGCCGCAATCCCCATGTCAGGCATGAAAGAGCCATAAATATATAGGAAAAACTTAATTGATGAAATCAGATGATGATTATGATATAATTTAGTACTTTGATTTGTTGTTAAAATTTTGGTTTATTTTCATACAAATCTGACTTCTGGTGTTCTTCTAGTTTTAAAATCCATACCATTTTATAGATTAAAAATGATAATGATCTACTTCTATCTTCATGGGAAGCTTGTAACTGGCTTATTCTTTTGATTAATGAAATCTTGCTTACTTATAAAAAAAATAATGATCTACTTCTATTATTGACTTGCAGATACGGCAGAATGATCGATTAGCTGTTAGCAAGCTAGTTACCAGCTTGACAAGGGGATCGGTTCGTTCACCTTTGGCACAATGCCTCCTCATTCGTTATACAAGCCAGGTGCATTCATCTTATTGAAACATTGTGTGGTAAAACTTGCAATGCGGTTAGTCCATCATATCTTAGCATTATTGAGCATTCATGCAGGTAATACGTGAGTCAGGCCTTAACACACAGACAGGAGATCGTCCCTTTTATGATTATCTTGAGGGTTGTCTGCGACATAAAGCGGAAATGGTTATTTTTGAAGCTGCTAGAGCAATAACAGAGCTGAGTGGTGTAACCAGTCGAGAACTGACTCCTGCTATCACTGTACTGCAACTCTTTTTGAGTTCATCAAAACCAGTACTTCGTTTTGCTGCTATTCGCACTCTAAATAAGGTTTACTCTTTTGCACTTTCCTTTTTGATAGATCTTAGTACTTCTATCTTCAATATGGTATTTGTGAGATGCATTTCAAAGTAATTTAATTTTGGTTATACATATTCTCTAGTTCCTGTCTCTCCTCCATTAGTTTTTCCCTTCCTCTAAATGGATTTATCTAAAAGGGTTCACGGATTTGTGGGTCCTGAGAGTTATCTTTCACTTTAAAAAAATATGGAACAGGTGCTAAATTGTTTTGGTGGTGAAATCATCTTAATAGAAATCAATTTTTTAGGCTGAGAACTTGTAAGATATTTTCAATGAAAAAAGGGGAAGGAGCTATAACTCTAATGCAGTGGGAAAATAGATGCCTTGAAGAGGCAAACAGCACCCCTTCGCCCCCCACCCAAAAAAAAAAAACCAAAAGGAAAATTATCAATGAAAATAAGACCAACAAAATTCAGTCTACCTGAGGATTTTAGTGCTCCAATCCAAAACACTTTACAGTACCCTTCCTTTGCGAGACTATCTGCTTCACAGTTGTCAAGGCCAGAAGGCCTGCATGGGTGACAGGGAAGCACCTTACTTTTTACAAATAAAAGATTTAGTTTGCATGATTTCAACACAAAAACATGTGCAATTGTAAATATTTTATGTCATTGCTGGAGCTCCAATCTTTTGAAAGAAACTATAAAAGCATCCAATCTTTTGATGTGCCTTCTGGTAGATTGCTAATTAAACTGTTACTTTTAAAAGTTGTGTCATTGTGGTGGTTTGCAATTACAATAAATTGACTAGAAGTTGCAGCCATATTGTTGTGATTGAAGGCTCATTCGGTGAATAGCTTGTGTCCCTAGCATTCTTAAATGCTGAGAATGTAAGGGTATGTGTCGTTTGAATTTCTGTTATATGTTAAGCCATTTTCTGTTCCACATGAATTTAAGGGTAGAAAAGTCATTGTATGTCATATGTCTTGTATAGATCTGTCCCAACAAGCCTCTATAACAGAAACTCTGTGCCACATGAGTTTCTGTTATATGTTAAGCCATTTTCTGTGCCACATTGAGTTTCTGTTATAGGGGCAGATCAGACATTTTGCACTTAATACATGCACTTATTTATAGTGGTTGACTGGGAGCAGGAGTCTAGCTTTTTCCTCCCTTTGAATAACATTAGAATTCTTTCTTCTTCTCTTCTACTCTGTGAACTTCAAGAATACCATATTCTAATCTAAAAACATCAGAACACTAGAAGGATAACTGTTTGGGGAACTTCAAATATATGATTTTCAGTTTCTGTAGGAATATGAGATTGTGAACAAACCCACCTTGACTAGATCATTATCTCCCCTGACATAGTGTTCTGATTATTTCTTTCATTGTTTCTTTTTTGACTTTTGCAGGTCGCAATGACACATCCTATGGCAGTTACAAACTGCAATATAGATATGGAGAGCTTAATTTCAGATCAGAACAGAAGCATTGCAACACTTGCTATTACTACACTTTTGAAGACAGGAAATGAATCGAGTGTTGATCGTCTGATGAAACAGATAACTAACTTCATGTCAGATATTGCAGATGAGTTCAAGATTGTGGTTGTGGAAGCTATTCGGTCATTGTGCCTAAAGTTTCCACTTAAGTATCGAACATTGTGAGGGATCTTGGATTTTACCTGGAAAAGTTCTTTTCTTACTGTTTTGAACTCTTGGTTCTATGACATGCTTCTTGCTTTAGTTATTTTCAATCTTCTTTTTCAGGATAAACTTCCTAAGCAACATTCTTAGAGAAGAAGGGGGATTTGAATACAAGAAGGCAATTGTTGACTCCATTGTTATCCTTATAAGAGATATACCAGATGCCAAAGAAAGCGGATTATTTCACCTTTGTGAATTTATTGAGGACTGTGAATTCACATATTTGTCTACTCAGGTGGACATTTCTCCCTCAATATTTGCCTACACAATTGTTGAACTGCTTGAATTTGAATAGTTTTCCCTCAATTTTATGTATATTTTGGTTCACATTTTTGCATCTACTGTATTATAATATGTATTTACTTGTTACTCTTCTAGATCCTACATTTTCTGGGAAATGAAGGGCCAAAGACATCAGATCCCAGTAAATATATCCGGTATATCTATAATCGGGTTATTCTTGAGAATGCAACTGTTCGGGCCAGTGCTGTTAGTACCTTAGCAAAGTTCGGTGCTATGGTTGATTCTTTGAAGGTAATTTCACACTTCATTAGTTTTTAACATCCACCATTAGGGGTGATCATGGGCCAAGCTGGGCCCGGGCCGGGCTTAACACCAATTATAAGGGCTTTAAGCTAGGTCTGGGCTCAGCCCGGCCCTCACCCCGGGCCTAGATTGCAAGCCCAAGCCCAGCCCTACATGGGCTTGGGATGGGCTTACGGGCTTTCCGGGCCTAATGAGTAATGACTTTGGGCCCAGGACATCAAATAATAAAATTTAATTTATTTAAAGTTTTTAAATTAAATAATATGTAAATGTAATACATACAAAAAAATCACATAACCCAAAGTTAAATTGGGCTTGGCTAGGCTTTAGGCCTATGGCACAAAAAACAAGGCATGGGCCTCATTTAATTGTTAGACTTGATTTGGCTTGGGTTACCTATCGTTTTATAGATGAAGGCAAGGCATTCATTCCTATTCTTGGGAAATGTGGGACTTAGAACAACATTAAATAGTTAATGCAACCATTGAATGTTTTCCCAAGTCCCATATTGCTTGGGGAATGAGAATGAAGGCTTTTCCTTCACCTATATAAGGCCTTGCTTGGGAGGACACATCTCATACTTGAATTGACTCAAGTGTTGACATATGTGTTGGCACATTTCAATTCATAAACAATTATTTTTATGTTAAAAGTAATACTCAACTTATATATATATTGCGGGTCGGGCCAGGCCTAGACCGGGCTTGACGTATTAGGCCCAAGCCCAGAAATTTGTGGGCTGGGCCAGGCCAGGCCAAGAATGATCACCCCTATCCACCATTCAGCAGTTGATTAGTTAATTAACACAAGTTGAAACAATCGGACTACTTTTTGCAGCCTCGAATATTTGTTCTGCTGAGACGGTGCCTCTTTGACAGTGATGATGAAGTAAGTCTCAGTATAATCTTTAAATGTCGTGTCTAATGAAGTTGATTGATATGTACTTTATGCCTGGGGAGTAATTTCATTTGACTCATGAAATCATGTGTGAATTAATTGATGCAAAACAAGTTTCACTTTTTTTTGTCTTTCTGAACTACAATATGCATTGCATTTCTTTTATCACCAACAAAAAAAACTTCATTAGCAGTCAAGAGGGCAATATTGAAAGCAATAGGCATGGAAATGAAAAGCCTGTGAAAAAAAGATGGCTTGGACATTGTTTATTTAGAATTTATGTTTGGTGGTGGTTTCTCTTGCAAAGATATATCTGCTAGGTATTTATATATTAATGCACATTAAAGTTTATCTTTTTGTTTTTTTGCATTATTGTGCTTGAATCTGGGATAAAGGATCTAAAACTTTGTTTGGTCTGTACTCATAGTAGACTATGTAAATTGGATATATAGCTACTGGAAAATTGAGTTAATTCAAACTCAATGCTTTCCTGGGAATATGGATCCAAAATGAACCATAAGAGTTGGGTTTGTTCCTTGAGGATTTTTGTGATTGAATTCAACTTCTTCAACTTGCCATTGGAATGAAAACATCATCTTGGTTTAAAGCAAGCCTGTTTTTTTTATGGCTTCTGTCTTTCTTTGCTTGGTAGTATTTTCACATGCTAACCTGTTCACAGGTTCGTGATAGGGCAACACTCTATCTAAATACACTTGGAGGTGGTGATGGTTCCATTAATGGAAACAAAGAAGTGAAGGACTTCCTCTTTGGGTCTCTGGATGTTCCGTTGGTCAATTTGGAGATGAGCTTGAAGAACTATGTATGTCTTCCACTGGGCTTTCTTTCGTGTTTTTCAGTGGTTTATTTTTTGACATCATATATGTATGTTTTGGATGCAGGAGCCTTCAGAAGAACCTTTTGACATTGATTCTGTACCCAGGGAGGTTAAATCACAGCCTCTTGCTGAGAAGAAAGCCCCTGGGAAAAAGCCAACTGGGTTGGGTGCTCCGCCTAGTGGTCCCACATCCACTATTGATGCTTATGAAAAGATGCTATCCTCCATCCCTGAATTTTCAAGCTTTGGAAAGCTTTTCAAGGTTCTTTTGATTGATCTTAACACAAGTGCACAGTGTTGTTTGTGTTTAATATGTTGAAAATTGAGGATTCATTTGTTTTTGCCTCCTTATTTTATTTTATTTTTTCAGTCATCGGCACCTGTAGAGCTCACAGAAGCTGAAACCGAATATGCTGTTAATGTTGTCAAGCACATCTATGATGGGCATGTTGTATTCCAGTACAACTGCACAAACACTATTCCTGAACAACTATTGGAAAACGTATGCTTAATGCTGAACCCATGTTTGTTTCCTATATCATTGAGAATTTGTAATAATCTTGCTCTCATTACCAGGTCACTGTTATTGTGGATGCTTCTGAGGCTGAGGAATTTTCTGAAGTTACATCCAAGCCTTTAAGATCATTACCTTATGACTCACCAGGGCAGACTTTTGTTGCATTTGAAAAGCCAGTTGGAGTTCCTGCTATTGGGAAATTCTCAAATATGCTTAAGTTCATCGTTAAAGAGGTATGTCCTCTCCTCACAAAAGAAAAAAAGTCCTCTACATGTTAGCCTCCTAGTGTTCCTACTATGTTTACCTTTTCTCAAATCTGGCCAATATTGTAAGCAGAGTGAGCTACTAGCCTGAGCCAGCTGGTGAAGATGTTCTTATAGTCTACTACTTCACATCTTCACCTACTTACTAACCATCATCTGGACCTGTATATACATATTCCTAGGCGAGAGATAAGATGTTACAATCTTGTATTGGCACAAATCCTACAACTGTTGACTCTTATTTTATGGTGGTATTTTTAACAGATATTGCCTGGATGTTTATAACCTACTATCATATGTTTATTTTTCTCATATTCTTTGTAACTATTTAATATATTTTTCTAATGGAGGGTTATGAGGAATCTTCCTCTCAGAATTGGAAACCATACAATCTCAAATCCTTCCAACTTTTTGTAAATGTTAACAAGTTTTAAAATGCCTGTTGATGGAAATGTTGATCACCTAGGAATAGAAAATGCATCTGAAAAAATTTATAGAAATCTTGAAAACATTGTGAAATCTTTGGAAATAGACAATGGTATTTTAAAAATGAAAAAAGAAACTTAGATGTACTCTTTTAAAATTATGGTGTTATTATAAATTTGTTGTATAAAAACAAGGATTGGAAAGTAAATAGACAAAGGTACTGCTATTGGAGCTACCTATAGTCTCTGAGAGTCAAACTTATAGTTTCATATTAAAATCCAAAGTACATATATATTGACGACAAATGTGTGAACTCATAAGTCTAAATTACCTTAAGAACTACAAGATTATTTGTAGAACATAAAAAATAATGGAAGATGATGTTCCAATAGAAATAACAATGCTACTTTATACATTTATATTTAATAGAGTCATCTTTATTAATCTATTATTTTAACTTTTCTTTTTAATAAATATTAATTTTGATGAATATAATTATGTATTTATACAAGTATATAAACTTACTTGAATATGTAATACTATATCATGCTTATGGATGAATACATCTATTGACATTTTGGTCCGACCTTCTCAAAAGAAAATGCATTCATGCAGGCTGATATGATAAATTTTGATTGAATAATACAATATTTGACCAAGTCTGCATCTCCTACCTACAGGATGCTACAGCCACACATCTGGAGCATCTCTCATACCATACATGTATATTTCATTTCATGGGGAGATGTTCCCAATGTGTTGCTGTGGTGTGCTGTGGGTAGGAAATCCGGAGTATATTTGATCGTTTTTTTGGAATTTTAAAATACCTTAAAAGTTTCTGTTGGTAGGGCTGAAAACTGAAAAATATTGGTTAACATTCCTGACATATGTTGACTTTCACAACCGTGAATGTCAGTCTTATCACTGTTTAGTGTATCTCTTAACAATGCCCCAATTCAGTTGGTCAGATCTCTGGCTTGTTGTACTTGTAGCAGAGACTTGGGGTTGCATCCTGCCTTCACCAAGGTTGGGGGTTATGGGTTTGGGGGGATGGGCTACCCCCATTGTATAGCACCATGGAACAAAAAAACAAAAGAAGAAAAAAAAACAAAAAAAAAAAAAACCCAATCTCCTGAGAGAAGTTATTTTGTTTTGATAATACCCAAATGGTAATTCTGCTCTCTTGTTCAACTGATCAATGATGTTAATCTTTTAGGTGGACCTGGTGAAAAGCTTACAAGTGGCCTAGTGTAACTACATTTTTATACATTGTAACAATTTGGTTGCATGCATTTTTTTATTAACTTGTGAGAAAGACTAGCAAATATTAGATTACTTAATCCTTTATCCACTCTTTGGTGACTCAGAGATTCAAGTAAGGTGCTTTTAAATTATGAAAGCAACAAATGAAATGTAAGGCCCAAAAGATAGATGCACTGGCTGTAGTCATAGAATTTATTCTACAACTCAACTCAGCCTTAATTCCAACATTTTATTTTTGATAACTGCCTCTTAATTTCAACTATTTGGAATTAAACCTTTTCTTACAGACTTGGGTCAAGTACTTGATAAATCCAAGGCATATTCTAATCCACTTGTGCAAATTGATTGGTAGGGTGAGAATTTATGTAATGGGGTTTCTAAATTAAGGTTTTCCTGATTTACAAGATGAAAAGTGAAAGACATCAATAAACAATCTTCAGTTATTTGGTTTGTATGCTCAGATGATTTTTTGTTTTGTATTGCCTTCTGTCAGGTTGATCCATCTACTGGTGAAGCAGAAGAAGATGGTGTTGAAGATGAATATCAGCTGGAGGACCTTGATGTTGTTGCTGCAGATTATATGTTGAAAGTGGGGGTCTCTAATTTTAGAAATACATGGGAAAGCATGGGACCAGATTGTGAGCGGGTTGATGAGTATGGCCTTGGTGTAAGGGAGAGCTTGGCAGAGGCTGTTGGTGCTGTCATTGACATTCTTGGCATGCAGCCCTGTGAGGTAAATCTTTTCTATTGGATTCTTTTGGTCTCTTCAAGCACCTTAAAGTTGCCCTGTGATTACTTAGATCTCATACTTTTTCCGATATTTTGACTCCTATTAGAAGATGCCGTGGCAAAGAAGTTGGTATTTTCCATCTCTTTGCAATTGCATCAACTTCTATATACAATTTTTAACTAATATGACCAAAAGGATTTCAATCTTTTAGTCCTTTTGAGGGCCTGTGTGAAGTGAAATGCTATCTTTTAATTCGTCTTTTTAGGGAATGTGGAGTGGATAACGTAACTGGAAGTCAGCCATTTGTTACTGGTATAACACATGGCACATTGCTTACTATGCAAGGAACCTGTGGTTCTTTGGATCAATCCTGATAGAGATGCTTTCTGACCAACTTGATAGGCCAGTTGGTGTTTTTATTATCACTAGGTCCAGATACCAAGTTTCCTGTTAGAAACGTGTCACCTGTTTCATTGATTTTTTTTCTCTTCAACAAATAGTCCAGTAGAAGTTTAAGGTGATTTGCTATATCTAGATATTAATTTTATTCCTTCTTTTGCCCTTCACTATCCTGAAGAGTCAACTAACCAGAAGCTTCTGAAATGCTTCCTGTGTCTGTTTTACAGGGCACTGAAGTTGTACCAAGCAATTCGAGGTCACACACATGCCTGTTGTCTGGTGTGTTTATAGGCAATGTCAAGGTGCTTGTCCGGTTGTCATTTGGAATTGATGGGCCCAAGCAGGTTGCCATGAAGCTGGCCGTTAGGTCTGAAGATCAAACAGTCAGCGATGCCATCCATGAGATCATTGCCAGCGGCTGATGGCAGCAGCTTTCATATTGTTGGACTTGATTGTCACCTTTTTCTGCTCCTTGGTTGAGTGAGGCTGGAGAAATAGAGTTACCGGTGGTATTATAGCTAATGTCGACCTCAAACTAAAAGTTTGGACTTTGGAAGAAGCAGAGATCTGTTCCAGGTTAGCAATTCCAGTTTTTCTGGGAGGGGAGTTTGGATCCATACAGGGAACCCTTTTTTTTTCTTCCTTTCCCGGGGGGGGGGGGGGCGTAGGTTGTGTGTATTCATGATTGATACAGTTCTTTTATAGACTGGAAATTTAGGTAATATAGTGAATGATTCCATTTTTCAGATCCATTTACCATCAGTTTTCCTGTAATGTGGATTCGGTATATAGGCCGTCCTGTAAGTTGGTATTAGACCAAGTATTTGATTAAACTGGGCATTGAATAGGGGGCTTCTAACCAAATATCATATGGTTTTTCCTAAAGAAGTTTTATTTTTCTCATAGTGCAGTTAGTAGCAGAGGGGAACCATAAACCGTTGTCCAATTCGTTCCGGAAGATTTAAATGGAAAGATACATTACATGCGCATTATATGGCAACACAAGCAAACAAGGACGGAGTAGGACTGTATTATGTGGTTAGGGCAATAATTCAGAACGCAACTCCTAGCGCCTCCAATGGCAATTTAGCATTTGAGAAATTTGACCTTCGTCCACGGTTCTTGTCCATCAAAGATCACCGGAGACCTGCACCGCATCTTTATGTTCTCCCATAAGACTTCTTGCATCTCTACGCTTTCAGAGTTGCAGTCTTGTTGATCTCTGTCCTTGTCACAAGGCTTAACATATCACTACACAGAGCAATGACTACTTCCATTTCTTTTCACGGCTGAACTTGAACCCCTGTGGAATCTGGTGTTTATGACTCCTTCACACGCTATAACAATCCTTTAGGCATAAAGAGCAATTCTAGCAGGCAGCTCAGCTGCTATTTTTCATCTCCCTATGGGCAGCGAAACCCATGAAGATGTTATTGGCTGCTATTTTCATCTCCACATATTAGGATCTGGCAATCCTCCTGCTTAATGTATTTCAATAAAATAGTAGTACTGTAGTATTTGGCGGAAAAAAAAAAAAGAGAATAGTAGTCCTTTTAGGAAAATGACATCCTTTCTTTTTTCCCAACTAGATAAAGCGAAAGTCGATACCCTCAAGGTTTAAAGTATTGGAAATGCCAAGTGTATCGGAAAGGCAATTTTAAGAGATGTATCAAGATACGCTTTGAAACACTATAAGTACTTTAATAAATCATAAAAATACATAACAACACTAAATATAAGACCTAAATGAGGTGTATATACATTAAATTAATATATTTTAATGGTTTTATGAAAAAATATATTATAGTTAATTATAATTTCATTAAAAATCCTATACTTAACTATAATTTATAAATTATAATTCTTAAGTTTTAATGTTTAATGGGATGGGAAAAAACCAACTCTCTTATCCAACCATAAAATATGCATTAACACAACTTCTAAGTGAAAATATACTTAATAATTAATTATTATTTATTTTTAAAAAATAATAAAAATAAATAAAAATTATATATTATATTCAAAAATAGTTATTAAATAAAATTTTTAATTGCTTTGTGGAATATATGATAGATCATCCATAGAATTATAATATATTCAATCATTATGATCAAATGATAAAATATAATTATTTTTTAATTCTGTAAATATAAAAATAAAAAATATTAAAGAAGAAATTTCAATTGGTGTGGTCAAACAATAAAATATAATTAATTATTATTTAGTTTTATTCTAAAAATATAAAAAATCAAAAATATATATATATTAAAGAAGAAATTTCCATTGCTCTATAGATATGATAGATAAATCTATAGATCTAAAACATATTTAGTCTTTATACGCAAAGAAAAAATTATATTTTCAAATTTTTTGTTAATTTATATTTTTCTCAAATATCTCATGAAATTTCCATAAATCTACAGATAACACAAAAAAAAATTTGGTTTTGGATGTAAGAAATGTAGATTGACATAAATTTATACATTCAAGAAAAAATAAACCATAAGATATTATAAAAAACTGAAAAAAATTTACTTATTTTTTACCATATTTTTTCAAAATTTGGAAAATCTTCAAAAAAATAACGATTCACACTTGTTTCTTGCAAAATTTTGCAAATCTAACACTCTATGAATGAGGTTTGGAGTTTTAGAGTCATTTGGGGGGTGAAAGAATCTTACTTTTCCCCCTTATTTTTTTTTTTGGTTTTTGGTCGTATCTTTTTTGTTGATACGCTACCAATACACCTCCGATACCCCCCCGATATGCCCCTGATACACCCCCGATATGTATGAAAAAAGGCGATGCACACGATTTCCATATGTATCTCGTATCTATTTTTAAAAGATACGATACGATATGCCCCGTATCAAGTGTATTGTATTGAAATTTTAAACCTTGAACACCCTTTGAACTTTCAAAGCCTAATAGGCTTTTAGCTATGGAATCCACTTGGTAAACTTTGCTTCCAAAACATGCTTTTTAAAGTAAAAGTACAAATTGGGTGTTTAATAACACCAATTTGCTTTTGGACTTTTATAGACACATGCGACCATGATATTGAGCATAATAAAATCATAGAACATCTGTATATTAAGCCCTATTAATTATCATAAAGGATAGCCCACATTGAACTAGTTCTAACCACCATTCAACCTACACATTGGAAGAAAAACAACTACTAATAGTTTTATGCAGATCATTGTAACAAGCAATAATAACACCATGCAATTTAAAAATCCAACAATAATGCAACATAATATGTTGCAACCACAACATACCCATATCATCCATTGGAGTATAATAAATAACAGACTCATTGGAATATAAAAATAGACTCACTCCATTGGAACATTCATAACAATAGAATCAAAATTCACATGTGGTATCAAGGAAATAATGAAAGAAATTAATGCTAAAAAATCACATGTGGTATCAAGGAAATAATGAAAGAAATTAATGCTAAAAAATCACATGTGGTATCAAAACCAACCCATCTGAACTGGTTTCAAAAAAAAAAAAAGTAAAACCTAAAAAAACTACCGATATAGCCCGGTACACCGAACAATATTTTGAACCTTGTAATAAACTATTGAACAACCCCCTAAAAATATGAAAAATTGAATCAAACCAGAGAAACCAAACAAAAAAAATCTAGTTAATCAAATCAATCACTTCGGTATTTTTAAAACCGGTACTACTTCAATTTTCAGTTAACCTATAAAAAAACAATGATTAATCGAACCAATTGGAAAGCTTTTGTTGCCATCAATCGAAACCCTTTGCTCAACCCCAGACTGTTCAACTTCTTCAAGGTAGAAGACAATGAACAATATTTTTTTATGAAGGGTAGTTTTGATATTTTCAAAAATTTTAGGTTGCATATGTCATCACGTGATCAGATAATTAACGGTCGGTTAACGATAGGGACCAACATGACACTTTTTGAAAGTTTGGATCCACTTTAGTACCCTAAATTTTGGGGGTAGTGTAAGTTAGTACCCGACCTTTCAAACGTGTCACTGCAATACCATGCTTACAATCATGTAAAAAGACAAAAATGCCCTTAACCTATCATCTAATTTTCTTATAATTGGTATCCAAATGCGTCACCAATTCTCTCTAGATTCGTTTTTCAATGTGCAAAACTCCTCTTCGCAAAGAATTGCCTACAAGGTAATCCTCTTGGCACCGATTTGGTTGCCACACTGGCCTCCTTAGATGTGCAAAATCTCATGCATCTTGAACTGTAAATGGAAGTAGGCGAAGAGATATGATGATGAAACATGAGTTAAAGCTGATCCTTTTATTGTTTTATCAAAACAAAGCAAACACCAGGGACAGAAAAATAAACACCCAATAAATGAACCTTACCTTGGAGAGAGATCAAGAAGAGCATTTTCCCTGCGATCAGCGTTTGCATTAACGGAAGAAGCGCTTGAACCGTCATAAGGAGGGTTGAGCGGAAGTGCTTTGGGCAGATTCGCCATCAATGGTCGTGAATCGTTTTTGATACTCAAGTTTCTTCTCGGAGTCGGAGGGAGAAAGAGGAGAGGTGACGATGTTTTTTATTATTTAGGCCCCGTTTGGTTCGCGGGAATAGGGGTTTGGAATCGGAATCGGAATGGGGTATTCCGGTTCCAACTGTTTGGTTGGACAGAATCAGAATCTCATCCCCATTTCTGCTGGAATGGCATTTTCCTATTTGAGGGAATGGCCATTCTCTGTCCCCCCCTTGGGAATGAAATCCCATTCCTGCTGATTTTAATTTCTATTTACATTCCTATCTGAATCAAACAGATTATGGGAATGGATAATTCCGATTCTGATTCCAAAAAGATTTCGATTCCAATTCCAATTCTGATTCTGAATGCGAACCAAACGGACCCTTTTCCTCTTATGCCTTTCATGTTAGTACAAAAAAAATCTTGATAGTTAGAACCTAAAACTAGTATCGAAGATCTCTTCGGTCTTCGCTTCCCGAGTCCGATTTATTATTTCCAAGGGAGGCGTCGAGGCAGAGATGGGGCCTAACTAGCAGCAAGATAGAGAAGCATTTGGGGGATTTCCGGCATGGCAGCATATAGCCAGCGGGGTGGAAGTGTGATTTCTAGCATGGCATGTAGCAGCTATGGGCCCTCACAGATCCAAGGTTGGTACATACTTTTGGGTGTGAATGTTAGGCGTTTGTGAAGAGTTCAGATTTGTGCCCCACAAAGGGCCGGGGTGCCCCACAACATCCAACAGCACATCCCTGTCGTGTATTAGGAACATCTCTCGATGATAGTACAGAATCGATAATGTCATCATCGGGAGATATTCCCAATACACGGTAGGGATATGTTGTAGGACATTGTGGGGTGCAACACATCATCTGTGAAGTCCTTGTTGCCTTCAATCTCTCTTTCCTGTTATGCGAATGAAAAACTTTTATCACCGTCAATTGAAACCCTTTTGCTTAACCCCAAACTATTCAACTTTTTGAAGGTAGAAGACAATGAACACTATCTTCTTTTGAAGGGTAGTTTTGACATTTTCAAAATTTTTAAGTTGTACATATCATCATGTGATCAGATAACCGACCGTTGATTAACAATAGGGACCAACTTGACACCTTTTGAAAGTTTGGGTATTGCATTGACATGTTCGGTTACTAAGTTGACACTACCCCCAAAGTTTAGGGTACTAAAGTGGAATTTTCCCCATATATTTTCTATATATATGATATATAAACTATATGCAATATATATTTTATACATATGTAGTATTTATAATATTTGTGTTATATATTTATTTGTAATATATATTAGGGAAAATTCCTGATCAGTACCCTGTATTTTGGCTCGAGTGACAATTTGGTCCCCAAACTTTAAAATGCGACAATCCAATACCCAAACTTTCAAAATGTGACAATCCAGTACTCAAGCTTTCAAAATGTGACAATCCAGTACTCAAGCTTTCAAAATGTGACAATCCAATACTTGCCGTTAACTAGTCCATTAATCAGCCGTTAAGTGATATTTGAAAAGTCAAAAATGCCCTTTGAATGCCATCTAATTCTCTTTGTCAACCATCCAAACATTGATAAAAAATTGAACAGTCCCAAATCCTAGTCTCTTCTATTCAAAAAAGTTGGTGACTGTTTAGAAGAATCTAGAATTTGGGACTATTCGTTTTATTATCAATGTTTGGATGGTTGATAAAGAGAATTAGATGTCATTCTTAGGGCATTTTTGACTTTTCAAGTGTCACTTAACGGTTGATTAGCGAACTAGTTAACGATAGGTACTGATTTGTCATATTTTAAAAGTTCGGATACTGGATTGTCACATTTTAAAAGTTTAGGTATTGAATTGTTGCATTTTAAAGTTTGGTACTGATCAAGAATTTTCCCCATATATTATAAATATAAAAAACCAAAGAATCGAATTGGTTAACTGGTTAATCGGTTGATTCGATTCGGTTTCAAAATTATTCGGACGGTTCGGTTAACCGAACTGTAAACACTCCTTGACAGTCGGCACTAGACCTGTTCATGGGTTGGGTAGCCCGATGGCCCGGCCCGGCCCGCACCTCGGTCGGGCTTGGTCATGTAATTAGGCCCGTAGGCCTAACACAATAAGCCTAACTGTGTTTCGGGCCGGGCTCGAGATTTGTCAAAAAAGCCCGGCCCGGCTCAGCATTATATATTTTATAAAATATATAATATGTATTTTATATATTATATAAAATATATAAATAATATAATATTTATTAAAATATATATTTATAATTTAATATATACATTTTTTATTATTTTCTTTATAATCTCTCTCTCTATTCAGCCGCTAACAGTATGGGCTAAATTTCGGGCTCGGGCCCAGGCCCAGGCTTCGGGCTTTTTATGAGGGCCGGGCTCAGGCCCAAATTGTAGGTCCGATGGTCGGGCCGGGCTCGGGCTCGGGCTCGGGCCTTAGAAAATTCTGTTAATACAGAATGAAAGCCCGGCCCGATCCCGGCCCGGACCGGGCCATGAACAGGTCTAGTCGGCACATATACAGATTTTGCCGGACTTCTCATAGCTCCCCGCGACTTCGGCTAACGGGAAAATAGAACAAAACTCTACTTTGGTGCTCTGATCAGGCCTCCGAAAGATGGGAGACTACAATGATGCGTTCATGCGCAACAACAGAGACGCCGCGGTGCAGGCGCGCACGAAAGCCCAGAACCGCGCAACCGTTCTGCAATTGAAACTGGTATTCGTTTTTGTTCATCCCAGTGCATATCCTGTAGTAGAAGTTATCGCGCTTTGGAGCCCTAGTTTAGGAGCCGATGGATTTGCGAGTGGTATCATCTGTTAATTTCTCAGCTTAAAATGTATGATTGACGTTGACCATCTCTGTCTGAATCATTATTAATGTCCAAGGCTGAACACACCTCCATTTCTTAGTGACCAGGGGGTAGGGGATTTTTTTTTTTATTTCTTTTTGAAGATCATTTACTGGTTAGTCTCTATTTAGTTTCCTTCGTTTCCTTGTTCTTTCCCATTAACTATGGTTATGACAATGTCTTTCCTTGATCTGTAGCTTTCTCTCCTTATCTCCCTATCTAAATCCATATCTACTGTAATAGTTAAAGAGAGCCTAAACGAATCAAACATAACCATTAACTATGGTTATGCTCTTTTTTTTAATGAACACTTTGTTGCAGTTTTATGCTTCATCTTAATAAGAAAGCTTATTTACTTCAGTGGAGTTTTAATCGCTGCCATGTTTCTTTATACAGATTGGACAGAGCCATCCAACTGGCCTTACATTTAACCTTTTGAAGCTTTTTGAGCCTCGACCTCCTTTGGAGCACAAACCACCTGCAGAGAAAAGAAAATGCCCTCCATATACAGGTCTATATTGTTTAAACCTCAAAGTGTTGATTATTGTTTTCATACTGATTGTTTAATATAATGCTAAGTTTTATTTATTTTTTTCTTTTTGTCAAGGAATGGCACAATTTGTGAGTAACTTTGCTGAGCCAGGAGACCCTGAATATGCTCCTCCTGTCCAAAAGGCTGAAGCTACAGTAAGTTAGTATTGTCTGAACAGGGATTTCGTCCTCCAGATGTACTATGAATTTAGATTCTTGGGTTCTTATTTGGGAGTAGGCAGTCTTGCTTTATGGGTGACTTAATCTTTATGTTTGTATGGTTAATATCCTTTATTTTTAAATCCTTCTTTGGGGATGGTCAATATTTCACTCCTATAGGGCTGGTATGGATGTTGTTTCATTTGATGACTGCTTCATGATTCATGGTTAGTGTTAATATGGTTTCTTCGGCTTTAACATGTGAGGTGAGAAGATTAATTAATTACTTGCTTGCAGAGCTATGAATTGTATACGTTACATAGTTGTCAAGGTGTATTGGTGGTTCTAGGTTATAGTGGAGTGCCTTGTAGTGTAGGTGTCAGCCTAAGTGTCTCCTAGGTGATGGAATTTGACAAAGAAAAAACCTAAACTCTAGGTTATTCCCTAGTTTTATACATCAAGCAAGAAGGTTATAAGTATTTAATAAACTAATTGAATGTCAAAATCTATTAGCAACATTGAGAGTAATTGTGCAGTCTTTGTTGTATTTAACAAGAGGGTAATTGTGGGATAAATTGATTCCCAACCATGGCATCCCCATACAAAGGGTATTGAGGAGCATCTATATATATTAGATATGCTTTACTATAAAGCTAATTGGTCAGCCACTGGTAGCTTGATGATAAAGGCAAGATTTGATCCCAGGCTAGGGGTTTGGAAGTTTCCTTTTTCTTGGTGTTGTCACTAAATGGGTAAACCATCTTCAATGCCTTCATAAATAAGTAGAGGGCACATTTATTATACACAACTTGCCTAGCCTTTTTGGGTATCAATCCTGCAAGATTGATAGGGCTCCTAGGTATCCATGGATGTTGCAATTTGAGTATCCCCATCCTTCAGGGAAACTCTGTCTCCTCAAGCATAGGAGGGATTTTGAGATATAAGGATAGCAACATCTTAGCCTCGTACTCTGGTCCAGTGGGAATAGGAGACTCAATCAGGGCTGAACTATTGGTAGCTCTACAGGGTATTCAGATAGCAAATCAACTAGGAGTTGAGCATCTTCTAAGTGAAGGAGATTCTAAGGTTGTTGTGGGTTGGTTGATAGACCTGAGCTCAGTCACTTGGTGCTAGAAGGGTTTCCTAAAGAAGGCAAGCTGRTTGACAAGTAACATAATTGTTAGCTCACATTGGGTGAGCAGGTCAGCAAATGCTATGGTTGATCATCTTGCTAAACAAGGGGTATTGAGGGAACATCTGTATTGGGCAACCTTGTAATGCTTTGTTTCTAGTGCGTGGCTGGTTTCAAGGGAGGTCACACATCATCCCTCTCTTTGGGGTGCTTTAAACTTTTCTTATATATTGGTAAAAAAATAACTTTTCAAATATATAAAAAAAAAACTGCAATGCTGATGAACTTCTCTCCCTGTGGCCTTCTTGAACATATTTTGTCAAGAAAATGCTTCAATTCATCTACACCTCCTTTGGTCTGGAAATGTCTAGCACCTCCTTTGTCAAGAAGACGTCTGTATTACAGAATACTGATTTAAAGGTAATATTTGAGCAAATTAGGCAATGATCAGTTAATCACTCTACGAAAAAAGAAGAGTAAAAGAGAAGTTGGCGTTGCAGTTTCATAGCCTATGACATGATTAGCAGTTTCCAATTTTAAGGTGCAATAGGTGGAATTGAAACATTGGTACTCTGATTGGATGATAACCATTTGCAGTTGATATGTTAACTCTTGGTTGTGCCAGCTGCTGAGTATTATGCCTTTAGGTTGACAATAAGAACCTATTATTAGCATATTAAATATTTCCCGTAAATTGTTTCCATTCACGTAAAGCAATTAATGGATGGTCAAGATCAGTCCAGTCGTTTAACTGCTTTGATTTTGGTTATTCAAGAGGCAGTCCTTTAATAAATTAGCAAAATTAACAATTTTCCAGGTACTAAATACTGTTCAAATGAGATTGAACCAAACTTTATGCCTTTTTTTTGCTTATATTTATTCCCTTGTTCAGGAATTTTTTTTTCTGATAAATGAATTAAATTGTTATTAATAGTGAAACAGTGAGCATACAAACAGCCTAAGAAGAGGCATGAGATGCGGCCTCTTCTTTAATGATGAAAGCACAAAACTCACACTAATCCCTTGTTCAGGAATGTTTATGCTTCATCTTCTTGTGGTTGTGGAGTATATTGAATTTTTGGCAAGTGAAATGTTTTGCCTTATTGGTTTCTTGTCTGATTCCCTGTAATAGTTTATGTCATCCATGGTATATGAACTTTATGGAAACAGGAAGAAAGAAGGGCTAGAATTCACAAGTTACGGCTTGAAAACGGGGCTGCAAATGCTGCTGAAGAGCTTAAAAAATGTGATATGGCCTCCTTCAATTTATGTTTAGTATTAAATTATTAGATACATATGAAACTAAAATTTTTTCCTTTTATGCAGATGATCCTAATAGTGATCCAAATATATCGGGAGATCCATACAAGACACTATTTGTTGCAAAGCTTGTGAGTAGTCTCTTTCTATGTGTTATCATATTTCATGTTCATATTTAAGTTGATCTTCAGGCTTGCCTCTTAGATGAAAATATTTCTAGAACAGCATGTTCTGGAAGTACCTATAGAAGGAAGAACATCTAAGTGGTGAAGATATTTTTTTCCTGATGTAAGTAGCTTTTAAATATGGCAAAAGAATTGAGAACTACACAGATCATTTAAAAATTTTATTAGAAGGATTGCAACTATATTCTGGAACTTTCTTAATAGTGAAGACATCTGGTGGTCTTTATGCAAAAGATAGCTCCAGATATGAAGAGAAATCTAAGGGGTATATTGATAACTTGAATTTTTTTAAAAACTTAGTAGGATAAAAATGGTGTTTTGGATATTTAGAATTAATATTAAATTTTCAATTTCTACATGTATAAATGAAGGAGCTTCTAACTGATTAAGAAAGGAAGGAGCTTCTTTTGGCTTCTGGGCTAAAAATGACTCCTGCTAGAAGCACCTGCATATCCCAATTATCAAATGCCAATGAAATGCAGAAAATGGCATTCCCATTTAGGAAGCTACAGAAAGGCTTTAAAGGGGCAATTTTAAATGCTATTTAAGTTTCTCTCTGCTTGGAATGACTTGCAAGTATAATGGTTCTATTGCAGAATTATGAGACCACTGAGCACAGAATCAAAAGGGAGTTTGAAGCTTATGGGCCGATCAAGCGGGTAGGTATTTTAGAGCATCCCTGTTGGGGACTCAGGTTATTGCCTTTTGACTTCGGTAAGAGATTCAGTGGTATCAAAACTAACTGGTTTTGTGTACTTAGAAGTTCTTAACTTTCATCTTAAATTTCAAGATTTCAAAATTCCTGGGAAAAAATTGTATGCCATAGCTCGATATGTTCATCTTTATTTGACTCAGGAGGTTCATTTTTACTCTTAAGGTGGGCAATGATATATATTTAAAATCAAACAATGTTGATTTTCTCTATTTTTTCTTTCATATCTGTCCTAATTTGACGAATGGTAAGTATTTAAGCTATTTTCTAGTTGGTATTATTGGGTCTGAGCATCATTTTGGTAAGTATACAAGCTATTTTCTAGTTGGTATTATTGAGTCAGAGCATCATTTTGGCCAACTTAATTGCAAGAATGGTGTTGTATCATGGATTTTGAAGAAAAACATTATAAAGGTGAGGGTGGCTAGTGATGATTGTACCACACTTTTTTTTTAATTTTCAAATTCAAAATGGAGTTTACTTGGCATTGTTCAAAATCGTTGATGTTGGATCAGCTTGAGTCGGGTAATAACAGGTAGACTTGCCACTAATGGCATTATGGTTTGTTTTATCTATCCCCTTATCCGGGGTGTTATCTGTTTCACAACTGGTTTGTGCATACACTTTTATTTTCTGCCAATCCAATCACAATGACGGAGCTGCATCATGCATGGCGATGCTGTAAACCTTAAAGGCGAGCAGGATAATGATGCATCTTGCCTTTTGGATTTTATTTTCGAGCTATAAAAGGAGAAACTCATTTTCCTTCTTTTTCTGAACTGTGTATAAAAAGTTAGGAGTGTATCTTTTCTGATATTTTTATTCTCTCTTGCATTCTTCTTGCCACTGAAGATTTTATTTTGACTAAAGGACATCAAAAATCTCTCGGCAGTTCTTATCAAATAAAAAAAAAAAGAAAAAAAATCTCTCAGCAGTTCAGAAGATATCTGGTATTTTCTTTGTTATTCATAATTATTTTGCTATGTTAAAGTTTTATTCCTTGGTAAGGAGATGGTAAATCTGTTTCACAACTGGGTAAACTGGCCACATCAGTTTTTTTCTGCTACTCTAGCAATGGTGGTGAAGCTGTACACCTTAAAAGGTGAGCACGGCTAATTAGGCATAGCGCCTGTCTGTCGTGCCATTTAGATTATTTAGATTTAGTATTTGAAATATGTTTTATGTTCTAAATCATATCTTTTGCAAAGTGGCCAAACCCCTTGGTTTTTATTCTCTTGTTTGTTGCAATTTTATGGTTCAGATTAAATTATTATTTGCAAAAGGTTGTTGATTTGGCTTTTTTTGTGAAAATCTCAGGTTCGGATGGTTACTGATAAAGTGACAAACAAGCCTAGAGGCTACGCCTTTATTGAGTATATGCATACCCGGGATATGAAAAGTCTGTCATATGCTCTTTTTTTTTTCGATGAATAATAATAAATTTATTGATTCAGAAGCAAATTTAGAGTGAGTTCATACATCATCCCAGCGAGAGGCGCGAGCTGCAGCCCCTCCTTGAA